ATGCGTCTTTGGTATCAAAAAGTAGCCCTGAATTTCAGCTATTTTTTGATACCTAAGCGCGCATTGTAGCATAAACCAGTATCGAGAAAAACTCGTTCAAAGCTAGACTAGCTAGCGCACCGTCATTATGGGGGGTGGGGTACTATTACAGTATTTACGGTAGGTGGATTTCTTAATGTTATATAACTTTTTATCAATACTCAAGATTCACCTCTGGATTCCGCTTTAAGTAGAGATTTTTCATAGTCTCATAGACGGCCAAGTCGATCCCAGCATACGGGATGATTCCAAAAAGATTCGGGACGTAGCCCTAAAGATTCGGGACGTAGTTATGAGATTGTATTTGATTATTATTTTAAACTGTAAAGACTAGATTAGAGACTAGATTAAAGACTAGACTCTCCAATTCACTAGACCTGAGAATTTTCGGTTTGAACGTCAATTGATGTCCAATAGAAAATGCCAATACCTTAACCAATTTCACTCCAATCTTTTCGTCTTTGATTTCAATCGATAGAAAATGAAATTCTGTGCTAATTGATATGAAAATCCAAAAAGATCGGAGCAAAATTGGCCGAGATATGCCATTTTTCCGTTGCACGCCTATTGGCGTTCACAACAAAAATTCCCAGGGATCACTATCGCTCCGTGCACTAGAGGGTCAAATTTCAAATGCGTTTCTACAAAAATCTACAGCATTTGGTGGGGTGCACTACTATTAGAGAAAATATGGTAATTACATTGTGTTGTATTGGAATTGAAAACTGCCGTCTATTGTCATATTTGCGGATTCCTCTCACTTTCAGCACCTTCTTCAAAAGAAACCCATTTTGGTGTTAATGGAAAAGTGGTAGAGAATCAAAAATTAGGCTTATAGCCCAATTTCCAAAACGATTCAAAAACTGGTTTTCAAGAAATGCGAAATTTACGCATTTTCACAAAACTTGCAACAAAACTTGCATTTTAAGCGAAACTACTAAGTGTATCTTTTTGGAAATTTGGCTATAAGCCTAATTTTTGATTCTCTACAACTTTTTCATTGACACCAAAATGGGTTTCTTTTGAAGAAAGTGTTCAAACTGGGAGTCCTTCTCCAGTCTCCAGTCCTCGATTTTTGAGTCCCACACTTGTCTCACACACAAACCAAAATCCTACAACGAAAGAGGAATCCGCAAATTGCCTGTAAAATGGGTAGAAGTCGTCAATAATAATGGAAATTATTTGGAATGAATTTATGGTTTTATTTTGAATAAATTTTAGTTCAAAGTCCCGCAGTTTTCAATTCATCAACCCAATAGTAGTAGATCCTCGCGACTGTTGTAACGTGATTGACTTGCTTGCGGAATAACATTTAGCGTTTATCCAGAGTAATGAAGACAAATAAAAGAATAAAAGAATAAAAGAATAAAAGAATAAAAGAATCACAAGCTATTTGTAGAAAAAATGTGAAAGCCAAATGGGTGGGAGCAAAAATAAAATGAAAATGGCACAGACTACGAGACGTTCCTAGTGACAACCTAGACAGATGTGAAAGGTGCACTTTAGAAAACAGCAAGCATAAAAGGCTATCTTTATAAAAGGCTTGTGAGAAGCATAAAAGGCTCTTCCAAGCGCTTCTTCAAAGCTCTTCATAAAAGACTTTAAAATCTTTGCCGATTGCTTTGTTCTCAGCAACGCTTGCTTAATCATAGAAATTCATTTCCAGGTGGACGACTTGATCGATTTCTCGATCGAAGCGAAACCCTCACCGGCCTCCGAACCAACGAAACCCGTTCCCGAGGCCGAGAAATCTCTACTCGACTAATCCTCAACTCTTGTACATAATTCCCATTATTTATCTCAAATTTCTATCAAAAAGCTTTTATTTTTGATCATTTGTACATAAATCCCTCAACTCTAGCCTCAATTTTTTTCACTTTTTAATCTTGCATTGATAAATATCAAACTCGTAGCCAACACTTCTCATGCACTTCTACCCTTTTTCATTTCAGGTCCTTTTCTGGGTCAGGTTTCTTTTATGATAAATGTTTTATAAGAACAAAAGAAGCTAAAGCTAAAGCAAAGCTAAAGCAAAGCTAAAGCAAAGCTAAAGCAAAGCTAAAGCAAAGCTAAAGCAAAGCTAAAGCAAAGCTAAAGCAAAGCTAAAGCAAAGCTAAAGCAAAGCTAAAGCAAAGCAAAGCAAAGCAAAGCAAAGCAAAGCAAAGCTAAAGCAAAGCTAAAGCAAAGCTAAAGCAAAGCAAAGCAAAGCTAAAGCAAAGCTAAAGCAAAGCTAAAGCAAAGCTAAAGCAAAGCTAAAAAGCAAAGCTAAAGCAAAGCTAAAGCAAAGCTAAAGCAAAGCTAAAGCAAAGCTAAAGCAAAGCTAAAGCAAAGCTAAAGCAAAGCTAAAGCAAAGCTAAAGCAAAGCTAAAGCAAAGCTAAAGCAAAGCTAAAGCAAAGCTAAAGCAAAGCTAAAGCAAAGCTAAAGCAAAGCTAAAGCAAAGCTAAAGCAAAGCTAAAGCTAAAGAACAAAAGCACTAAAAGCACTGATTAAAGCATTCAAATGATCCAGGTGAGACGAACAAGTGCTTTAGTTATCCAAGTTTGACTGTAATCGGAGCTTTGTGAGAATTGATTAGCATTTCAGTGCAAATTTTAAGCTAAAAATTCTTTTTGACTGTTTTTAATGACCAAGAACGACACAATTTTTGCATAAAAGAGTCTGGGAAAACATTTTAAACAACATAAAACAAAAGTTTACTTTTAATCAGTTAATTTGAAGGTTCATGAAGAGCCAAATTCCAGTGTTAACAAAAGGAATGCTGGCTAAAAGCAATTTTATTGTTGAACAACGGTTGGCGCAAAAAGCGCCGAGTGCGGGTACACTATCCACTACACTTGCTGCGTTATACGGAAAGCAAGAAGGTCTATATTAGATCAGAAAATGCGACCTAAACTTCTTTGTCAAATAACTCGTGATACAGGGCTCCGTTAGTGAAACTAAAATCAGATTTGGAATCAGCGTTTAAAACTCTATCAGATAAGGTAAGGCGGAGTCAAAAAGGCGACTCAAGTTAGTGCCATTCCGTAGTTTGTCAGTTAGACGAGATGTCTACATCTCGTCAGTTAAGAACTGTTTTCGATCGAACCATCCTACTCAAGTTTGAGCTGAAAAGTTTGAAAATCAAGTTCAAGTCAAGTGCTCATTCAAAGACTTGTAAAATGAGTTGTGCATCTCCAATCTGGAAACTTTTAAGGAGCAAATGTAGCCAAGATTAAGCGCTTCAATATTTTATATAACATTTAACACATTGGGGTTGAACTTAGCGCTTGGGAGCTGATCTACCAAAAAGAAGTCGCCGGAAATAATGAGCACCCTGTAATTCACTTCAGTCAAGCTTTTGGCACAGCTTTTGATGCACTAAACTCTTGGTTATGCTCAAAACAACAAGTCTGTTGTTGAATGTGGAATGAGATTAGTGAGCGCAGAGCTGATAAGCATTACTGTGGCTCTCCCAGAAACAGATTTCATGTTTGCTTTAACGCTTAAAGTTAACTACCACTTTCAGGTGCTCCAAGACGGTCGTGTTGTCGAATTCGACCATCCCTATCTTCTCCTAAGCAACTACCACTTCCTGGTGCTCCAAGAGGAACCCTGTACAAGCAAAATCAGAGCAAAAGCCAATGTCTAATGTGTAATCAAGAGCAAAGATCAATTGACTGATCTGTCTGATTCATTGACCAATCATTTACACATCATTTCCTCAATCTCTCTCCTAAACAACTCTCCTAAATCAATTAAACTCTAAAACCATTTCATTTTTTTCATTATTCTCATACGATCAACATCAGATCATCGCTGCACTTCAATCAAAGCGTTACCCTAACACAAAAGTGCAACGAGAGACCAAGAGAGTGTTTACTTTCACAAAATACTGTAAGACTGTAAGAAAAGTACGGTAAACGAAGTCTTTTAGAAAACAAAGTCAAAGAAACAATAGTCTAGCTAGCTAGCTAACTAGAATTTTCCAAATTCAAGAACAAAGACCAATTATTGTCTAATTCCTTACCTTGTTAACCGCAATTCGAAAGAATAACCAGAATTCGAGGCCAATATTTGACAGGCCAATGAGAGCCTTTTCCCCAGTTTGCTGTCCATTTTCATTTCTTTTCATTTCAGCGGTCCTTCTTTACTTTTCGTGGGAGGTAAATAGAAAACATCGGCACCAGTCGAATGGCCAACTTTCGAGTATAAGAAGGACCGCTGCAAAGGGTTTCGGATAAAAACGAGTGACCACTTCTCTCATTTTGAACTCATGATGACTGATGTCATTTGGTTTTGATCTATAGAATTGATAGTTTCACTGTGTTAGACTCAGCTGCTGATTTTCTTCGGTATATTGCTTTGCTAAACTTCTTCTATAAGAAGAAAAAGTTGTAGCAATGTTTCATTTAGTTTTTGACGTTCTTCTCTGACAATCAAACACTCAACCTCTTCTTTCTTTGACCCTCGTAACTTCCTGACTTTTCTTATAGCTTCCTAAATGTCAACTATGATATAGACCTATCATAGTCTTGCCGTATTGCTCTAATTCTACCGTAATCCTACCGTAGTCCTACCGTAGCCCTACCGTAGTCTCACCGTAGTCCTACCATAGTCCTACCATAGTTCTACCATAGTTCTACCATAGTTCTACCGTAGTCCTACCGTAATCCTACCCTAGTCCTACCGTAGTTCTAACGTAGGCCTACCGTAACCCTGCCGTAATCCTACCGTAGCCCTACCGTAGTCCTACCGCAATCCTACCGTAGTCCTAACGTAACCCTACCGTAGTCTCACCGTAGTTCTACCGTAACCCTACCGTAGTCCTACCATAGACCTACCGTAATCCTACCGTAGCTCTTCCGTAGGCATACCATAGCCATACCGTAGCCATACCGTAGTCCTGCCGTACTCTTACCAATCCTATCGTAGTCCTTGATTCAGCTATTCAAACCGTGACCCAACAAAATCGTTTAGCTTCATGATCACAAAATTGCTGCTGGCCGTGCTGGCCACAGCGGTTTTGGCTCAGTCTCAATCTGGTGGAGATAATGGAGACGATTCGAATCGACGAGGACCGCCAAGGCCAAGGCCTGATGGACAAGGACCACCAGGACAAGGACAAGGACAGGGACAAGATGGACAGAGACCAGGTCCACCTGGAAGAGGACAAGGAGGACAAGGAGGCCCGGGCGGTCAAGGTGGCCAAGGAAGAGATCAACGACAAAATCAAAATGGCGGCAACAGTAATGGAATGAGGGTTCGACTTTAAAATGAGATTAACCCAATACTTGCAAAATTTTTACATGTGAATTGCTTAAAGTTGAATTTAGATCTTGGATCCTAAAGCCACTCTATTAGCAATCATCAGCTTGGGTCCAGAGCAGAAGGAACGGGACCACTGCGGAAAGTGGGGAGACTGGAAAGAGGTGGGAGTTGATTACTGTAATGCTCGTGATCAGTTTGATCTGTAGACAAAAATTTCACAAGAATGAGCACAACTGCAATGAAGTTATTATCGGTTATAGATCGGTTAACCCATTCGAAACCGCAGCGTTTTTTCTTTTTTTTCGTCTACGGACCAAGCCCTTTTTTGACATTTTTGACTCCGAAGCAGTTTATTTATGGTTGGAAAGATGTAAGAGAGTCTCCTACACCATTTATTTTTGATGAAGAACGATTTGGATTTGACTTCAGTACTTTTCAAGATCCTATCGATTATTGTTCTTATTTTATCGACGACAAATTAATCAATATTTTAGTAGGCGAATCTAATAAACATGGAAAAAGGAAAACAAACTGGCAGGATTTCGATGCAAAATCTTTCAAGCTCTTCCTGGCTTCAAATGGGAATCGTCAAATTATCGAGGATTCGTGACTACTGGAGTAGCAGGCCTGGATTAGGAGGATTTTTCCACATGTCCCACATTATGTCAAGAGCAAAATTTGAATCTATTCTTCGCAACCTGCGTTTTTGTGATAATGAACTGGATCCTGCAGGAGATCGGCCAAGATTAGAGCTATTATGGAACATTTCAATGCAAAACCAGAGACTGCATTGATTCCGGGTAAATATGAAACATCTTTTTTGCCCACGTAATTTGTAGATTTGCTACAATTGGAATATACATGTAATGCTGAAAAACAGCAAAAAAAAGCAATTAATTGAATGAAAATAGCTCAATTAGCGCTGTAGCGAATAATCGCTGCAGCGGTCCGTTCCTGAGTTTTTGCTGCAGCGATTATTCGCTGCAGAAGTTTCAAATGGGTTGGCGAAATGGAAAAACGGCTAAGAGGCATTTGTTACTTTGAAGTTTTAAAGTCATATTTGATGACTTATAGATGTGTAATTGATAATTGTAGCCGCGTTCTTTATCATATATTCTTTATATTATTCTTTAATGGTCTTACGTAATGGTTTTAAGCTTTAAGTATAAAAATAGTTACGGTAAATTTAAATTTAATTCATTTAAAATTTAATTTTTTAATCTTTTCTTGAGTAAGTATTTTTGGGTAATCGAGCTCGAACGTTTGCTCTTTGGAACACTAGCCAAGACCGCTAATCACTAGGCTAAAATGGTCAAAACACATTGCACAAATGAGGGCTTTTGAATCTTGATTGAATATTGTTGAGATTTGTTGTCTTGAGAGGTGTTGAGATGGCTTGAGAAGTCTTGAGAAGCTTGAGAAGCTTGAGAATCTGTTAGAATCTGTTAGAGTCTACTAGAATCTGCTAGAATCTGTTAGAGTCTACTAGAATCTGTTAGAGTCTACTAGAATCTGTTAGAGTCTACTAGAATCTGTTAGAATCTGCTAGAATCTGCTAGAATCTATTAGAGTCTGCTAGAATTTGTTAGAATCTGCTAGAGTCTGCTAGAATTTGTTAGAATCTGTTAGAGTCTGCTAGAGTCTGCTAGAATCTGCTAGAATCTGTTAGAATCTGCTAGAGTCTGTTAGAATCTGTCATTTCCAGGTGAAATGCTGGTGGCCCGATCAGAACTTCAGTTCGTTGCCTGAAGAATGCACCAATATCACCTATCCAAAGAAAGTACCGCAATCATTGCAAAAAGTAAGTTACTCTAAAACGTTTCTTATCAATTTTTTTAAAAGATCAAATGAAAACCAAGTGATCTATTAGGGGAAAAGATCCGCATCAAGTTTGCCCAGTGTTTTTCTTTTTCTCCGGGTAAACACACTGATCACAAGATCTCAAAACTCAAAACAAACCACTTTTGTAAAGAGGAAGGAAGAAGGAAGAAGGAAGAAGGAGGAAGGAAGAAGTAAAGAAGCAAGTAAATTTTAGAAGAAGGAAGAAGGAAGAAAGGAGAAGGAAGAAGGAAGTGAAGTTTAAGTACAAAGTAAAATCTGAGTCTCTTGTTCCATTACGGGAATAAAAAAATAGCATTCTACTATGTCTAATCGTAAGCTAAAGATCTCCAAACGAAGAAAAGGGTATTTAGCCTTGTCAGCTGAATACTTTTATAATGACAGCATTTATACGCATTACGGTAGGACTAATATGTAGCTACTATGCTTTAAAGCGTACTGTACTTTAGGTACATTGTATTATATTCGTTTTTAGTCCTTTTTTTTAGACCTTTAATGCTTTTAATGCCCATTTGTAGTTCTTTAATGCCTTTAACATTCTTCAATAAATATTCAATCGACTGAATATCTATTAAATCGATTATTTTGGTATACTTCAAGGGATATTCTAGCTTTGCAGCACCATTATCTACCCAATACTTTTAGTTCATCGATGCTAAAGTTCAAGAAGTCTATGCGGTGATCCAAGCAGCCTATCAACGACGAGGCGCTCCACCGAAATGCGGTCATTGCACACATTCGTTCAAATGTCGAACGAGAAATGCCACAAAAGAGGATGATGATGATGATGAGATGGATATGGGAATGGATTTCGATTTTGGAATGAATGATGATGAGGAAGATGATGAGGAAGATGATGAGAGTTCGATGGAAGATCTGGGAGGACAAGGAGGACAAGGAGGACAAGGAGGACAAGGAGGACAAGGAGGACAGGGAGGACAGAGAGGACAAGGAGGACAGGGAGGACAAGGAGGACAAGGAGGACAAGGGAGACGCCCAAGACCTAGACCCCGCCCACGTCCACGTCCACGACCTGGGAAACAGTGCAAGTGAGGGATTTAGATTATGACAGGCTATAGAGTTGACAGTTAGATATAATCTTAAGTCCATACTTTGTCTTGCATTGCAGTTACTGTTTTGCAAAATATACCAGTAACAAAGTCGCAATTGAAAGAAAAGATATTCAGCCTAGAAGCCTGAATACCTAGATGCCTAGATGCTTAGATGGTATCAGTATACTGTGATATTAATTGTAGCTTTCAATCTTTAATCTTTAACCTTTAATCTTTAACCTTTAATCTTTAACCTTTAATCTTTAATCTTTAATCTTTACTCTTCAACCTTTAATCTTTACTCTTTAATCTTTACAATTGTCTTTCATCTTTCAAGATCTTTCAAGCACAATAAGCTGAGTAACTATTAGGCTAACGTTTAGCGCATAGTGCGATGACAGATGTTTCCCGTTTTTGCCAATAATTGTTATCCGATTTAGACTCAACAAAAGCTTTAACAATTGCTTGCTTTGGTAAATCAGTTTTTAATGCAATTTAAGCTCAGTTCTCAGCGCAATCAATGATAGAGCTAAAACAGCATAGTTTTACTTTTTAAAAAATGGTTAAATTCGGCAAAAGCTACGCGGTTTTAGTGTGTCTATGGCTTCTGCTCTTGTTTTTGGTATAAAAAACGTGCAAGTACGCATCAGAAACTGTTAAAAACATGATAAAACATTTTTTATCATTGCAGCAATTGTTAAAACTAATGTTTAGTGTTGTAAATATTGTTGTAAAACTCTGTAGACTGTAGAACTATCGGATATCCGAATCTAAATCGGATTTAACATTTCGATAAGCAAGTTGTTCGTTGTACTTTGGGAAATTTTGGCACTAAAAAGACTTGCAGGCTCAATTTCAGTTTTCTAAAACAATTCTAAGCTTTCTAAATCTAAATCTGTTTATTTCAGAAAGAAAGAAATTCGCCCAATTGACGCCGATTGTGATGACGCGAAAGCCTGCAAAGTCTCCTCAGTCTTCGGTGGATGTCCGGCTCCATTGTTCTTGCATAAAGATCGAATGAAGAAAATCAATGAAATGATGATGAGTGGAGATCATCAAGTAAAAAGACGATGATCTGACTTCAAAGATTTCGCTTTAGGGAGCTCTTGATGCAATGGATTTTATGCAAGACGATGATGATGAGAATATGGATGACTCGATGAGAAAGAAACGACAATCCGGTTTCTACGATCCATCCACTTTCTATGCCAATTCGGGAAGCCAAGGAATGAGATCACAAATGCAAAGTTTGTTTTGATAGGAGAATATTAGGAGATTCTAGTCTTTGTCTGACTACAGTAGCTGATCAGTAAACTGAATACTTTCTGTTTGAAATACGGTAAGACAAGAGACTGTAGCTAGTATTGTTAGGCTGGCTATCGTAATTGTGCTAGCAAAATGCAAGTATTGCTTTCAGTGATGGGCCCTTGGCAACCAAACAACGACTGGACTGGCTCATCGCAAAGCCAAAACCCTTTCCTCCAGTGGAGAAGAGAAAGAGGAATGGATTCTTACAGCCCGAGATTTAATCGTCAATATGGTGACTTTGGAGATGATGGATATAGACAAAATTGGGAACAAGGAGGTCAAAGAAGTCTCTGGGGACCATCTGGCGGAGATGGGCCAAGTGGTGGAAGAGGTGGCTGGGATAGAGATGACGGGAGAGGTGGATCGGATAGGGACAGAAGGCCATGGGGACAACCTGGTGGTGGAAGAGGCGGAGATGACGATAGAAGGCCACCTTGGGGACCGTCTCGAAGAGATGATGACAGGAGGCGTCCAGGGGGACCAGGAGATGATAGAAGGGGAGGCCGAGGTGGTGATGATAGAAGACCGTGGGGTCTACCTGGCAGAGATGATGACAGAGATGATAGAGATGATAGAAGACCTTGGGGTCCGGGAGGAGATGATAGACGGGGAGGACGAGGTGGTGATGATGACAGAAGACGTCCCTGGGGTCCAGGAGGAGATGATGACAGAAGACCGTGGGGTCCACCAGGTAGAGACGACGATAGAGATAGAAGAGGAGGCCGGGATGATGACAGAAGAAGGCCCTGGGGTCCACCAGGTAGAGATGATGACAGGAGACGGCCTTGGGGACCTGGGGGAGATGGTGATAGAATAGAGGAGGGCCAGGTAGTTCGGAAGAAGAAGGTCCAAGAAGAGATGATAGAAGAGGACCAGGACATAGAGGAAGAGCAGGTAGTTCGGAAGAAGGCCCAGGAGGGGGTAGAGGGGATAGAAGATGGGATGATCAAAGAGGACCATCATCAAGAGGTCAACGCTGGAACGACGATCAAGAAGACAGAAGACCAAGATTTGGTGGAGCTGGAGATGATGAATCTGTTGAAATAGATCATAAACCGGGTGGACATGGGGGAAGAGGGGGAAGAGGGGGAAGAGGTGGAGGAGGTGGAAAGGGGAAAGCCAAGTTCATCGCCAATCTTTTGCATGGAACCAACTGTGTCAGGTGAGCTTGAAATTCTGGAAATTGAAATTCGTTTATATAAATCATCGCTACCATTCTCAAAAGCGATTTTCAGCTCCGGAAATGAATGTCTCTGTTGCTGTGGCGGCCATATTCCCGATGCTAAATCGGGTGACTGCAAAGATATTCGCTCAATGATGCCACAACTTCCAAAGCTTCTCGATTTTGCGATGAAAAAAGGTGAGTAATCAAATTTGGGTCATTCCAACAATCATATTCAGATCAATCTCAATGAAGCCTCAGTGTACATTTCCCAAAAACGATTCAACCAAAGTAGAAAAATTGATTCAGGGACTAAAATCATAACTATTTTTGTGATTGCAATGGATATATAAAAAGTTTATTTATTATAAGAATCAAAAATCACAACTCAAAAGATTTATTATGCAATCGATATTGCACAATTGGTATAAGGTGAAAAGTGCATGAGAAACGAACAAAGTAAAAATATTATGGTAGCAAATGACTATCAAGGAAAAATTCTGAATCAAAAATTTTTTTTAATAACTAGGCTTACTTTCTCCATCAGATTAGATAGCTTAAAGTATTACCGTGACAAAATTGATCTCATTCTTGATACCAACGTCTAGAATTTGTTCTGAATAATGCGGGATCATGTAAGCGCTTTGAAATGTGGACAATTTGAAAAGTTACCTTAATCGTTTCTTTAAATTTTATCGGATTTAGTTAGTTAGGATTAAACTATTGATTGAATGGAATCAAAATCGAAAAGAACTAATCTGACCAAAGTAAGAAAATCAAGATCTTCTAGTTAAAACCAAGTGAGACTTTTTGATGTTAACCAGTTTGAAAAACAACAGCAACAACACAAAAAGCCAGATACAAAGCACCGTATTGTGAATCGAATACTGGGAATGGGCTAACCGGGAAATTTCTTGGGGGTTGGTGCATATCGGAGATCTTTTCGGGCTAAGTAGAACCACAGACTGATAACAGATCGCAGCTATTGCAAAAAAAATGGGGTGATTTTGAAAACCTAGAAGTTGTTGAGCAAAGGGAATTGATAAAAAAAAATCAATTTTGGGCCTCATAAGTGGCTTTAGCGACGGAGAGCAGTTGAGCGGCCGTATCTCGACCGGTTTCATTTGCTAGCGCTGAGAAAGTTGACTCCGGATTGCTTAGGAGAAGATAGGGATGGTCGAATTCGACAACACGACCGTCTTGGAGCACCTGAAAGTGGTAGTGCTTTAAAGCAAACATGAAATCTGTTTCTGGGAGGGCCACAGTAATGCTTATCAGCTCTGCGCTCACTAATCTCATTCCACATTCAACAACAAACTTGTTGTTTTGAGCATAACCAAGAGTTTAGTGCCCCAAAAGCGGTGCCAAAAGCTTGGCTCAAGTGAAACTACAAGGCGTTCATTATTTTCTACGACGTCTTTTTGATAGATTAGCTCCTAAGCGCCAAGTTCAACCCTAGTGTGTTAAATGTTATATAAAATATTGAAGCGCTTAATCTTGGCTACATTTATCTATTAAAAGCCTTCTGATTGGAGATATACAACTCATTTTACAATCGAAAATCGCCAAGAATGGCAGCTTGCTGAAGAGGGATCAACTAGTACTCATTCAAGGGCTTGTAAAATGAGCTGTGCATCTCCAATCGGGAAACTTTTGAGAGACAAATTTAGCCAAAATTAAGGGCTACAATATCTTATATAACATTTAACCCTGTAAATCTTGGAAACAATGGAAAACAATTTAGAAATTCTAGGCTAGGACAACACTTTTAGGTAAGCAATAATTATCTTTTAACTCTTAAGTTATTAGACAGTTTCAATTCTTTTACATCTCCTAGTTTTAGAAGTGTAGGCTAGCGAAGCTGTAAATTCATATTAATTTTAATCATTCTTTTACTACTTTTTAAATTAATACACCAATTTTGCAGCTTGCGTTTCTCAAAGCTTACTGCCTTTATTGAGACTATTACAATAAACATTAAACATCTATTCATTACAATAAACAATTATCTCTAATGCAGCCAAAAACTCACCATGACTCGATCCGAGTCCATAATCGTATGCAAGCGATGAGCAATTGTTAACACGGTGCTCTCGGCAAACCTCTTGCGAATCGTCTTTTGGATCAGAGCATCAGTCCTGAAGTTGTTGTACCGCATTATAGTTTAAATTGACTCAATTAATTATCTAAAAACTCACTGTAAATCAACATTGGCCGTCGCTTCATCAATCACCAAAATCTTTGAATTCCTTAACAAGGCTCGAGCCAAGCAAACGAGTTGGCGTTGACCAACCTGAAATCGATTCGGCTTTCAGTCAAAAAAATGGAAAATTACCGAGAAATTGGCTCCTCCTTCATTCATCTCTGCTTGCAATTTTCCGTTTAATTCAGCAACCGCATCTTTCAGTTCGACTTGTTCGAGAGCTGTCCACAAATCCTCATCCGAATGCTCATTGAATGGGTCGAGGTTTCGACGAAGTGTTCCCACGAAAAGGACTGGTTCCTATAATAAAATTAAACTATCAAATACAGAAACTCTATGATTTCACCTGTGGGATGATGGCCAAATGAGCTCGGAGATCTCTCAAAGGAATGCTCGCAATGTCAACTCCATCAATGTAGATTTTTCCTGAATTTATCCGTTGATTACTTCTACAAACAATTTCAATATCCAATTAAGCTCAAGGCTCAAGACTCATTTCTTTGTCAGATTATTTTGTCTAACTTGCACATAAAAAGTTTTGAACTGTCCATGAACTTCATTTTTTTTCAGACCATCTGGTTGGAACCGTTATTTTAAAGATAATTATTGCAAAAGTAAACCAACTCCTTTCATTGTTCAAATTACCATAAAAACTCCAATAGAATGGCCCCCTATAGGAGCGTCGCGTAGTCTAAGCTTACTCTCAAACAAACGCGCATATCTCGGCGCCCAGACATTTGTTTCTGTGCGCTTAAGCATCAAATTAAAGTAGAGAGGATGGGTGATTTTTTGAGATATAACACATATTTTTAACTTTTAACAGCGTTTAGAAAAAATTATTGAAAATCGGCTCTTTTTTTAACGTTGTGTCGAGACATGAGCGTTTTTTTGAGAGTAAACTTAGACTACGCGAAGCTCCTATAGGATACCGTTCTATTAGAGTCTTTACGGTATATTGTTCCAATCGGTATTCTTCAGCTAACCTGTTGATTTCTTGTTCATTCTGAAGAGAGCTCTCAAAAGTGAGGACTTCCCAGCCCCAGTCCTCCCAACGACTCCAATCTTTTGATGACTCGCAATTTGCACGGAGATCTCTTGCAAAGCAAATTGATTCACATCTCGATATTGGAGGGAGAAATTGTCAAATTTGATCTCACCCTGGCTTGGCCAATGAGCTGGGATCTGAATTTTTAGCTTGATTAACCATTTCCTTTGTCCAAACCTTTGTCAATCCCTCTTCGGCGTGCTCGTTTGGTAAACCGCAGAAGTTCACGATGCGCTCAACGGAGACCATCTGAAACACAGCGATAAAGCCAAACTTTGGACTATAATTTATTAACAATTAAACAATATCCAAGTGTCCTATTGTCATCAAACAGTTCTTACCCCATTCTGAAGCTCAGCCGATTGTCGCATGATCCATGAGAAGAAACCGGTTAATTGAATCGCGTAAACCAACATCAGCGCCACTTCTCCAGAAGAAAAGACCACTAAAAGCAGATAGTTTTTTAACGATGTGGCATTTGAATCTACGGAGTAGATTCTGTCACGTTTTCTAAAACGAATTTGGGAATATAACTCACTTGGTGACAAGACGCAAGCAAAGGCGACAAATGAGACAAAAAGTGTGACGATTAGATCGATTTGTACAGCGAACCAACGAGAAGTGGTTAATGTGAGAATGAAAGCAGCTGAGTTGATGTTCATCTAAAGTTGATTGTAATAAGTTAAGCTAAAAGTTCTCCCCTACCTTTCCATGATAATCGTGAATGACTTTTTGATGTTTACCGAAAGCACGCACGGTCATCAAACCCTGCATCACTGATGAGATGTGAGTGTAGAGAGGGGATCGGGCTGGAAATTTTAATTCAATTAAGCTAACATAGATAAGTTCTACGACCCTCACAGTGAGAAATTATCTTTAGAAAACTCACTGATTGCCTCCAATCGCTTCACATCTCTTGACGTGGCCAAATAGAGCGCTCGAACAACCCAAAAGAGCAAACACAGTGGAATGCAGATAAGGAAGATCCATGGATTCACGAAAAAGATCATCGCAACTGAGCCAATGATTGCAAGGACGCCCTGAAATTGAAATTCTCAAAATATTCTAATTTATCGAATTTAAACTAACCAAGATGAATTCAAAGAACACAAAGGCCAACGGTTCATCCATTGTGTGAATATCTTTAGAAAAGCGATTGAGTACCTGAACATTGCTTTCTATAATCGTATACTTTTTGGTAATCTAGAAATTTTAGCAATCTTGGGCTCTTGCGTAGTTTCCGTGTATTTTGAACGGGTCGTCACGCTTTGAAGGCCTATAACTTTATCCAGACACATGATATTTTTGTGAACTCTTTATATAATTGTACATAGGACACTTCAGGCTTTCAAATGATACCAAATAAAGCTTGACTAAATTTTTCTGAATTCCCATGCAAACCAAGGAACACAACACCCAAGTTGGATAGGCATCATTTGCTCAGAGTTGGCTCTGATTTTCTTGGGCTGGATTATTCAATCAAGCTTTATTTGGTATCATTTGAAAGCCTGAAATGTCCACTGTACAATGATATAAAAAAGTTAATAAAAATATCATCTCTGCATAAAGTTATAGGCCTTCAAAGCGTGACGACCCGTGCAAAATTCAATACTTCCAAAATACTGGATTCTTTCAAAATATCCGGAAACTATGCAAGAGTCCAATCTTGTAAAACAATTTTTTCAATAAAATTCTTCAACTTACTCGTCCAATCGGATTTGTGTCATAGAACTCGGTCTCTGTGTTTACAACAGCGTGGAACATTTCCTTGTGAAGAGTCTCCGAGGCGACCGTTTCAAGCAAACGAACCCAAACACATCTGAATTTTGATTATAAAATTATGATTAAATCTTTTTTACATTTCTAAGCCATGCCCGACTAGCTAAGAGCCCTGTATCTTAGTCGGGAGATGAAGGGCTCAATCCCGCTCAATCTCGTCCAATAAATATTTTTTCTACCCTAGTCTCACACGGATTCATTATTTTGTTGTTGCTTCTGATTTACGAAAATTTGCGTTTTCTATCTCGAGCTGTTTTCAGAGCATTCGAAATTCAAACCTGAGCACAGAGCTGATAACAACAATTGTTGAGGTGACCGCGAAAATCCACATGTACCCATCAAGACTCAAGGAAATATGGTGACCAAAGAAGTTGATATTATCCTAGAAGATAACAGATTTTCTTAACTATTCGTTGAATTTTTAAAACTGTTCTCTTCTTACCTTGAAATCTGGAATCTCTTCCACAGCTGTAATATTCGTTAACTTCATCACTTTCTCCGACGCTGTTGTCCAAAGATTCAGCCAAAAATCGGTGAAATTGAATAGAATTTGGACAAAAAATGTGAAAAGAAGAGCAGGGATGATTTGACAAGTGCCCATTGCGGTGATGTAGCGCCAATAGACTGACCTAAACATTGGGAGTTTGATTCTGATTGAAAAAGTACAGGAAATTCGGCTAATTTTGAAGTTTTTTAAAAAACCTCATGGAACTTTGCACATTTTTTTTACTCTAATCTTTCTGAAAATTCAGCGGTAACCCATTTCGAGGTCGAGAGACCGATTCGCGTCATCAGAAAAATAGGTTGCCGCCAAAAAAACAGCAACTAGTGGACAAAAGCACATTTGCCAAATTTAGCAAAATTGCTTCTGCTTCAAAATTTCCGATTTTCTAAAGTTCCTGATGTTCTTAAAACTTTTTACCCATATTAACTCTTTAAAAAGCTAATCTGGTTCTTGTGCTAATCAGTGCCGAATCCATACCATGGCACAGCTCCTTCAGCTCGATCCTCTTCTATTTGTCCAGATGGTTCACTCGTTCCTTGAATTTCTTCCAGTTTTGGACCTAAAATTCGTTTAGTATTGTTTACAATGGCCAAGGATAAGTTCTGTTTTAAAAAATCTTACCAAAATTCTCATCGAAAACTTCTTCTTCGTCAAACTCTTCGGGCTCATTTGAGTGTCCACTGCTCACACTGACCGATCGTCGAACGCCATAGGTTCGAGCGGTTTCCTGAATTTTTTATTATTTGATTCTTTTGATTAGGATCTAGGAAATCGGGATCTTTTGACAAAATATGGGTTTTTCATTGTGAAAGCTATCATATCGATATCAAAGCCAATTCAATTCTCTTGGGACTTTTCCAGGAACAAATGGTTAAAATAAGCTCCACCAATTGGTTCTACGACCCTGAAAACCTCGGGGCACAAATTCTTAGCACTAAATCTCACTTGGGAATCATTTACAGAACAAAAGAGAAATCACTGTGTAAAGTGATTGGCGAAGTGTTCTTTGTGCTCGCGCAATCACTCGCGACCTGATAAACCCGTCCGATATAGGGAGCTTCCCTTTTGGAATCCGTAAAGGGGAAGGAACGGTGAGCAACTAAACTTTCCCGCCTCTTGGGCGTAATTATACCCAAACCCTTGGGAACAATTGTCGCCTTAAATTAGCTGTATTTTTGCTAAAGTTATACATCCCTTTAATCCAATTTCCAAGAAGAACCCAAAATTTTGCTTTGTTACGTCAGAAAATCTTGCTAAATTCTTAAATCACTTACATGCATCAATTGCAACACAATTTTCGAGTTCGATTCCCTCAATTCTTTCGGTGTCCCTTGTACAGCAACGGCTCCATCCTTCATCAAAACAATCTCATCGGCTTTCCCGACAAATTGCAATTGGTGAGTGACAAGGATGACGACTTTCTCTTTCAAGTATTGTCGGATACATCTAAAAATGCCCATTTATCTTAAATTTCTATTGTACAAACTTGTCAAAGATGAAGCGTCCAACAGCTGCATCGACAGCGGAGAGTGGGTCATCCAGGAGGTAAATGTCAGCCTGGAAGTTAAAACGTAATTGAATAATAGATCAAAAGTATCAAAAACTACAGGAAATGCAGGCTGGCCCATAATATGTGTTATGTCTTATATGAAGGCCGAAAAGAAAGGTCGAAAATCTGTTAGATTAGAGGATGAGGAAGAGTTTCGAGATGTGAAGCATTTTAGGCACGATTTCCTAAGACAATATAAATCGTGCCGGACGCTTTTATTTACGGAGCTTCTAATGATCTTAATTTTTCTTATAGTCGACCGATCGGGCCAAAAATTGGAATATAAGTGTAAAAATGTTATAGGAAATGAAAAATAACAAACTTGAAGTAATCTGACACATTCTCGACTTAATCTGTTTTTATATAAGGCGTAACACATATTATGGGCCACCGTGTATACAGAAGTACCCAACTATAAACCCACTTGACTATAAAGCGCTCTCGCCAGTGCCAATCGTGCTCTCTGCCCTCCACTCAACGCCAATCCTCGATCACCGACAATATTTTGATCACCGTTTTGAATCTCAGCAAGATCCTAATTTCTTTTGATTGATCATCAATTCCTTGACTCACTTGTTTCAACGCTGACATCTCGATAACTTCCTCATAAAGCTCAGCATTGTATGCTTTTCCGAACAGAACATTGTCTCGAATCGTTCCTCCAAATATCCACGCATCTTGTGAGCAATAGGCAACTTTTCCGTGAACGGTTAACTAAAAATTTTGCTTGAAAATTATTGAATTTTCTTTTACCTTTCCAGCTGTACGAGTTGTTTCTCTCAACACTGAGGCCAGGAGAGAGGACTTTCCAGCTCCAACAGGACCAATCACACCGACGAGCTTTCCTTTTGTAACTGTGACGGAGATGTCCTTTATTGCTTGCGCTTGCATTGGGGCTTCGGGATTTGCTATTTTCTTCTCCCATTCCTGAAAATGATTGAAATTAGATCAGTATCCTATTTAAAGGTGTCCCGGACTTCAACTTTCAAAGTTTCTACAGGTAAGATGGTCGATTTAGAGCAAATGCGTTGTTTATTTTACTTAAAATCAGAATTTTTTCGGTTTTATTCTTAGTCTTTCAAAATCGATAAAAGTTTGAAAATGTAATTGATTCATTGAATTGCTAAACACATTTGCTACTCACACTCGGGCTTTCCCATGTCGCCGAGAAGTTCTCCAATATGACTTTCGCGTCTTTCGAACTCTCCGGCTCCAGATGACACCACGAATCCATAGTGGAAAAACCGTTTCCCTAAAATTCACTCAACTTTAGTTCTTTAATACAGAAAACTTACGTTATCAATAAGTGGCTTTTTTTCAGAAGTTCCATTCAGAGTCAACTCATAATGAACTCCATCGTCTTTCTCAACTCGTTCCTCTTTTGGTGCTTCAATTGCGTTGAAGTCGTCAAGGTCCAAGAATGTCTGGAATATATCAAGATTGATAGTCATTGCACTCGTGTTACTATTCATCCCCTACGTAGTTTTCCCATATAAGTTAATATTTTAACTCACTTGAATCCTTTTCGCTGAAACCCTTGCTTCCTGGAACATTGCGATACCGATTGGCAAAAAGAGCATAACGGGAAGGCGGCAAGAGTTGAAAAGAGCACTCTGGAATGAAAAATGTTGGCTTAAACTTATTCTATTCAAAATTTAGCATGCCTTCGCTTTGCTAAACTCACCGCCACAAAGATCGGCTCAGCTAGCAAAAGTTCTCCTTGGAGGTAATAGGCAAGGGCGACGAAGAGCACGACCATTTTCCCGCTTGGCCAAAAGAGACCCATGAGAAGTGATTGGCAAGAGGCTTGTTTTCGAATCATATCCATTTCTTTTCTAAAACGGTGTAACTTGATAGTTTTCTAGTCTAATAAGTAAGGTTGTTCTAGTATCAAAAGTTTGCCATATGAAAAAACTATTAGGTTGAGTACTATGTGTTGATATCCTCTGTTTATTATTTTTTATTAGCGAGCTTTCTCCAAACAAACGTTGGATCCCTAAAAATAAAGTGTTAAGTGTTTAGTTTTAAGTATTTTAAAACAAATTTTGGCCTAATATTATGCAAATTCGCAAGTAAATCCTCATTTCTCTCAAATTTTTAGAAGAGAAAGATAAAGGAAACGGTGCGACAAATTTTTCTAAAAATTTGGCTATACTCCTAACTTCTTATCTTTTTTTTCTATGAAGGCCAATGAAGCTAGTATACCAACACCTAGTGCTCAAAATAGTTTTCTGTAGAAGAAATGGCATAACCGGGTCTCTGTTAATTTTGACAACCCGCCCTCTTGCCTCTTGAAATCCCTCAAAACAAACGCTTTTTAAAACACTGGAGAAGCATTTTGTAGAATGCTTTTCAATAAAACAAAACGTTTGTATTTTGGCGGATTCACCGTTTTTAAAACGGCCAATGAAGCTGACCAACACCTAGTGCTCAACCTAATAATTTCTATGGTTCCTTTTTGCCAACAAAGCTTATCTAAAGAAACTCACGTCCTCAACTCCTTCACAATGTCAGCAAACGCATCCTCCCAGGAGTACATTTTGATCAAACGAATCCCGTTCAAAATCTCGTTCATCAGCGAAATTCTCTTATCGGTCCTCATCGCCACGGATCGCCTAAAAAACACGTGCTCTGACCCCTTATCAGACATTTTTCTTCTCGGCTGTCATTTCACCTCATATTATTTTGAGTGATAAAAGAAAAACTACTGTAAAATGCTAAGTACTACTTGTAATTTGAATATAATATAATTTTACCGGTAGATGCCCATCTTTGTTGAGATGTACTTTTGAATTGGGAACAGCAAAAAATAGGCTCCAAATCCGGCAAGACAAATCACTCCAATTTGTGACCAAATCGCGCACCCGTAGCCGATCAAAAGTAGTGGGGAAACCTAGGTTTTCAAATGATTTTATAAATTTTTGGTGAAGTTACCCATAAATAGTGAAAGAAGACAAAAGCCATGTCAAATTTCATGACATCGGTGGAGAGCAAATTGACGAGATGACCGACTGAGGTGTCACGGAGAGCCGCACTGCTCAAACCGAAACCCTAAAATGACATTTTAGTTTTCAATAACTGGGTAAGTTTGGTAAGATATTATGAGGCTTTTGAGAACACAACTGAAACCCTGGTTTGAGTATTGATCTTAGGCTGTCCAGAAAGTCTTTTTGTTCCTTTTCGTACTTTCGTTAAAAATTAACAAATTCCCCAATTAACCTATGGTTTGCTCTAAATCAAAAGTGTTTATTGTTCAATTTCCATATTTTTAAGTCAATTTTGATTCACTTTCAAGCAAATTCGAGAGTGAAAACACGTGTTTTTCACAAAAATCTATAAAAACCTCTACGAAGAAATTGGCTGAATGAATTTCTCTGAAAATTTGGCTATATACAAAACTCTTTGTGCTCTATCTTTTATCTATTGACACGAAGATAGGTTTCCTTAGCTAAAGTGTCTTAGCATCGCCGTCGCCCTTTTTGACTACCCGACTTCACGTTCCAAAAAACCCAGACATAAGACATTTTAAACCCGTTTCAATGTTATTTTATAGAAAAATAATTAGCCTTTCTAATGAAACAAACCGTAGTTTAATCGGTGCATATGTTGGTTTTAAACCGTACGAAAATTAGGAAAAGTTTAAAGTACGAAAAAGAACGAAAAGACTTTCTGGAGAGCCTAACACATTACTCTGGCCAGTTGGTGATTCAAATCACTCCAAACTGATCCAAGCGATCAGTCTATTTTCTGAAGTGTGGCTATTAAAAAACTTTAAAGACGGCGTTTGCCCAACTCCAATAAAAAGCTCTAACTCACTTTCTCCGACAAAAGCCCAGAAGCGGCAATCTTGATCTTCAAGCCAATCCTTTGCAATCCGTAGAAATATGGATGATGAATTGTCACGACAATGAAACCCGTAATGGCAACTCCGGCAGCTGATAGAAAAGCGTCTTGCTGAACGTTTTTGGTTATTTTTATCATTTTTCAGGTAGCTTTTACATTTATCATTTAGTAAGTTTGCATTTAGAATAAATTTTCATTCATAAAATCCACAAACCTGTGTTAAAGGAGTGTCAAATCGAAAATATCGGATCAATCTTCCCATGAAGAGCGGTTGGGACAATTTGATGGCCTCTTCAAGAAACAGCCAAACCCCATAAATGGTCAACTCTCTTCCATATGCTTTAAAGATTGCGCGCATCAGTGACGCCTCTCGTTCTTTCTCTTTTGCTTCTTTTTGCTCGTTTTGCCAGGCCCTGAATGCATTTAAATGAAGATTTAGCAAAGATAAAGTACGGTAAGTTTTGCATGAATTACGCACTTACTGAATCTGAATGCATTCTATTAGGCTGAGTACTATGTTTTGGGGTCTTACTTTCGATTTTCGTTTTATAATTTGAGAATCAAACAATTGGCCGACGGTTTGTTTATCGAGATATCAAGAAAAGATTTATCATTTGTTTTAGGGTCTTTTTAGACGGTGTTGGGCTTAGTTTGTATAGAATCTGACCATAAAATCTCGTTTTTCTCAAGAACCTTTGAATAAGCCTACAGAGAAAAGGGATTAAGCTGAAAATTTGAAAACATTTCTAACCTTTTCTTATCTATTTTTTGTCTTTTGACACTAAAAACGTTTTTGTGAAAGAAAGTGCTCAAATCAAAGTTCGTATTTTTGGCTTTCAGACTTCATACCCTAGGAACTGCTCGAGAAAAAGGTTTCTTTTTGCAGTTTTGAAAAAAAGTGAGTAAAACAAATATATTTTTCTGAGAAAATATTATACCGTGTGTCAATTGCTTAATTGGTTTTTTAGAAAACGAGAATCGAAAGTAGGACCCCAAGACATCGTACTCAGTCTAGTACTCACGTTCTCAATTGCTCCGTGGCGGCTTTACTCTCCTGATCGGGCAATGGCTCAAACATGTCGGATGACTCAAGATTGTGACGAAAACCGCGTAGAAAGAGTGGACCCATATACCTAAAGGTTTAAATTGTTGAAAAGCTGCTCAGGATAGTTTGGAAGTTAATTAAAATCAGATCGATCTGATAATTAAGTTGCTACCCTATTAAGAAGTTTTATGAATGAATTGTAAATTTCTCTTGTCATTTTTATCAAGTTCCGTTATTATATCACTTTCGGATTCTGTTTGAAAAAATTAAAAAAGAAACCAGAAAAATATCCTCGAGAATACATTGGCTGTCTTTGCCGGATTCGGCTTCAATCTGACTCCATCGTAGATTTTTCCATCCCCAGGTGGCGGCTCTTCACTTTTTAGTGGAACCCTTTCGGCTCTACCCATGATCTGAAAATGCAAGAACATTATCTAGAATGAATACAGAATTTAAATAAGCAAAAACGACAAAAAGCAGGTATTCCAAAGGAAATTGTCAAAAGAAATAAGCTCAAAGTTAAAGAAACCTTGATCTTGGGCAAAATGAGTACAATCTTATAATCTTAAGAAGTCTAGGTGTCAATTAAATCGAATAGTTAGTAACTAACTCCCTTATCTAACACCTTTAGACTTATCAACCCTTTTCTAAAATGATTTGACACGAAACCCAAGACGAAGTAACAAGAAAATCGCGCAGATTCCAAAGGAAATTGTCAAAACAGATAAGCTCAAAGATCAGATTTGAGTTTTGGTGAAAAGGAATTGGTCAAGTTGAGTTTATACGGTCTGTGTGAACGAATTCAAAACGGTGGAGTAAAAGGAAAACGAGAAGAAAACGAAATAAAACCGTATTAGAATTTTAAACAACAAACTATGGGTAAACAATATAAAAAGGAGGGAACGAATGAGGGGAGAGAGTACTTTAAAAAGGCGCTACAAAAACATCATAGATTTTAGGAAGGGGAAGAAAACTTAACGGGACTCAGCATAAAAGGCACAAAAGCCACAAGGTTTCCATCATGAATGAAGGAAAATGAAAAGAATGGCAAAAGAGGGATTTTGAGCGGAGTACGGTAGCGCATCCACACTTTAGAAAGCGCGCTGCACCGCTAGTCCCTTAAAACCGGCCTTCAAAAGGAATCAAAATGAATTCCTAAAAAAATTCCAAACATGAAGATAAAAAATTGTAGCCCAAATACTGATTTTACTAGTTTATCCCACATTGCACAACTTTTGATGACAGTATTTGACCAACTCGACAATCGATTCACCATTTTTTTTTCGCGGCTATTTTTCGGTGTCTCTGTGCGTGTCGGCATCGAGTTTGCTCTTTTTTTTTTTTTCTATTTTTTCGAAAGGGCGAATCGAGATGGACGGGGTGGAAAAATCAACAAAAATTGTGAGAGGATGAGAGACTTTTTATACCCGATCATTTCGAGGGAAAGGTTTCGAAAATGGGAATGGAAAAGTGCTGTCATAGTAAACACATTGTAGTAAAATGTCACTAAGCCAGTGATTGATTGATTGAGTAGTGCTAAAAGTTAAGATATATAATATAAAATATAGATAAAATCGAATTTATTCTTTCTATCTGTTCATTATGGTAATCCTAAGATTAATCAAATTTTTCGATTAACTCCTGCAAAGCTTGCTCCTGCAAAGCTTGCTCCTGTAAAGCTTGCTCCTGTAAAGCTTGCTCCTGTAAAGCTTGCTCCTGTAAAGCTTGCTCCTGTAAAGCTTGCTCCTGTAAAGCTTGCTCCTGTAAAGCTTGCTCCTGTAAAGCTTGCTCCTGTAAAGCTTGCTCCTGTAAAGCTTGCTCCTGTAAAGCTTGCTCCTGTAAAGCTTGCTCCTGTAAAGCTTGCTCCTGTAAAGCTTGCTCCTGTAAAGCTTGCCCCTGTAAAGCTTGCTCCTGTAAAGCTTGCTCCTGTAAAGCTTGCTCCTGTAAAGCTTGCTCCTGTAAAGCTTGCTCCTGTAAAGCTTGCTCCTGTAAAGCTTGCTCCTGTAAAGCTTGCTCCTGTAAAGCTTGCTCCTGTAAAGCTTGCTCCTGTAAAGCTTGCTCCTGTAAAGCTTGCTCCTGTAAAGCTTGCTCCTGTAAAGCTTGCTAACAGATTTAGACAAGTTTACCTATCTGCTATTTTACTCAAATCTGTAAAACTCTAAGTCAAGAGAACAAAGCCATGCCAATTCTATGAGAATTTAAACCAGAGATGTGACATAAATTCAAAACCAATCAATCAATCAAACAATCAATAAATGTGAAGATTAAAGTTGTTTTTAAAAGACTTAAGTTCTTGAGTAAATTTGATTTTTGAAAGCTCAAGAGCTCGAGAGCTCAAGTCAAAACGGATCTAAAGAAATTTTTCCAAACATTCTCAAAGCTGAACCAGATTTTGGATAAACAAAACAAATCTATAAGATGCGAGTAACCACAGCCAAGTGTTATGCCCTATTATTTGAGCGGGGTGGGAAATCGTCTCTTTTAGCTTTCTTTTGCTCTTTTTGAGATGTGGAGAGTGGGGTGTCTGGGTGAGGGAGTGAGGGGGAAAGGATCAAGGATTTCTGAGAAACCGAGAGAAGATTTCGGCTAGAGACTACGGTCGGATGTCCAGCTCTTGGATTGTGACGGAACAAAGCTCAATGAAACAAATGGTAATGAAAGGTTTGAAATGATTCTGAAAACATACGAAATAAAAAACTACTATAGTCGTTTGAAAGTTTAAACTATTATAACCGTTCTTTGATCAATTGCTAGTCACATTAGTCACATTTAAACGCAAGCCGGGTGTTTTGCTTATCAGTCAAGTTAGTGCCAAATAGAAATCGTAAATAAACGGAATGTTCTAGTATCTATCGCTATTACCGTACCAGAAGAACAAAGAAAAAACGAAAAATGGGCTTTTCTAGCTGGATCTTTTGGGAGCACATTGTCCCGGTGGCGCAGTCAGGAGCGCGCTCGTCTACGACCCGCACTACACGTCTACGGCCCGCACTACATGTCTACGACCCGCACTACATGTCTACGACCCGCACTACATGTCTACGACCCGCACTACATGTCTACGACCCGCACTACATGTCTACGACCCGCACTACATGTCTACGGCCCGCACTACACGTCTACGGCCCGCACTACACGTCTACGGCCTGCACTACACGTTAGACGGTCCGCATTACACGTCTACGGCCCGCGGGTTCGACCCTCCGTAGTGCCATGCCATCTCCACTTTCTAATTTTTAATTTTAATTGACACAACTACAATATATTCTAAGGTTTTCTAAAGAAGTTTGTCTTTATTGGTCAAAACACGGCTGAGAAAATGCCCAGACAGGCAGACAGACACTTTGATCGTTTGCTTGAAGCTTGAAGCCAAAAATTGACCGCAAAGCAGTCACAATTTAGTTTTCAATTCCACGAAAATAAAACAATGCTCTTATCTTAACTTTTACTGTTAAAAATTAGAAGTTTTTGATATGAGAAAAACTTTATCCAAGCCTTGTACAGAGGATTCGTTCAGATTGCAAAGAGTCGATGATTATATAGGAAAAGTGTTTCGAAACTGCTCTCTCTGCCGAAAAAGCGATCATACATAAAGCGATTGTACATAAAACGACTCTATTTCGAAAATCTTCGCTAGCTTTAGATCAAGCAAACATAAGCCACAATCTAATGATGAAAAAAGAAAAAATGAAAATCAAATCATCTCAAAAACAAGGTTTAAGAGTGCTTTTCTTTAGTAAAAAGTAAGCAAGGAAGTAAGCAAGCAAGTAAGTAAGTAAGCAAGTAAGTAAGTAATTAAATAAAAGTAAGTAAGCAAGTAAGGCAAGCAAGCAAATAAGACAGTAAGTAAGTAAAGTAAGTAAGCAAGTAAGCAAGTAAGCAAGTAAGCAAGTAAGCAAGTAAGTAAGTAAGTAAGACAGTAAGTAAGTAAGTAAGCAAGTAAGCAAGTAAGTAAGTAAGTAAGTAAGTAAGACTTATAAAGACAATTTGTCATCAAAAGATGACTCAAAACAAGTAATTAGTTCTAATATGAAAATTGAAACATTGTGAATCCTATGGGAGCTGAAGATTTTCGGGATTTCACCTTGTGAACAACCAACTGACATCAGAGTTCATTGGAACAACTTTTTGCCACTTTTTGCCCTCTTTTTGGCCGCCATTGAGCTCAATTTCAGAGCTATTTCTTTTTCTGGGCATTGACGTATCTAAACATAAGGTTTGCATTCTTTTGATTCAAATTGAAGTCGATAATCAAAGATTTTTTTATAGTTTTATTGATTCAAGTCGATTCGACCATAAAAATGTGAGTAAACATTGATCGAAAGAGATTTATAATGTCTATAAACTATACAAATATTTCGTAAAGTTTCATTTTTCTATTATTGTTTTTTTTCTTTGGTAAATGAAATAAATAGTGGGTTGATTGAGGGAATAAAAGAGCTAAATGGGTAAACTTTTGAAAGGGTCGAGTTGGGAAAGATTGGAAAAGGAAAAGAAAAGTTTTCTTTATGAAAAGTTTAAAGTTGAACGATAAAACGTGTTTATTTATGCAAACAATTTAATTTGAAAAATTGATAATCTAACTGTTGATATTTACTATCCGGTTTAGGGTTTTTCCAATCGAGAGTAGAAGCTGTAAGCCGAGCCAAGCCAGGACCCGGGTCCAACACCGATTTGCGAACTATGGCTTGCAACTTACAAATCAACGGCTTGCAACTTACAAACCAACGGCTTGCAACTACGTGACTTGCAACTTCCAAATCATGACATTACAGCTTACGAAAATCAAATTAGTTTTGCTTGATTTTTCTTCTAGCTTAAAATACTATCGTTTTCCCGTTACGTTACCTGCTAAGAGTAGCCCTTGAGGCGTTGTAAGGGTTTACATTGAGAGGTGTCGTAAGTGGTGATGAAATGGTGTCATAAGGAGTTATGACAGTTTCGTAAGTAGTGGTGAAACAAGGCTCAGCTCTGAGAAATTGTCATTGGAATCTGATTCGGTTATATCCAGACTCTTGACTTGACTAGCTTGACTAGCTTCTGGCTAACCCACGGACTTTTTGTGAACTAGATTAGCCCAATTCACTTATAAAGGCAAAACAGGCGAACTTTTGATCTGATCTAGAGGTCTGATCTGATCTAGAGGTCTGATCTGATCTAGAGGTCTGATCTGATCTAGAGGTCTGATCTGATCTAGAGGTCTGATCTGATCTAGAGGTCTGATCTGATCTAGAGGTCTGATCTGATCTAGAGGTCTGATCTGATCTAGAGGTCTGATCTGATCTAGAGGTCTGATCTGATCTAGAGGTCTGATCTGATCTAGAGGATTATAGCCTTTGAAAATTAGAAGTTTTAATGTCGAAAACATTGCGCAGTTGGTTGATAGCTCGCTTGCTCCTGGTTCGTTTCCTGGACTGTGCACGACGAAAGAAAATAACAATATTGTTATGAAGAGCTTTATTCAATACTTTATTCAGTAGCTTTATTCAATACACAATAAATCTAATGACAGTGGCTCGAAATATGAAAAGTGCTTATCTCTTTCTTTGCTAGCTGATAGAAAAGAACATCATAGATATAAAATAAAGATTATAAAATAATTCAATTCCAAAAGCCGTGAATGTTGGCTGTTTAAATGTGACAAGAAAAAGCGCATAACAAAAAGAACATTTCTGCACATTGCAACTGTTACAAGGGTCATTTATAGCCCTTTTCCCTGAAAAATGAACTTAGAATTTGAATATTATTGACCAGTGATTCAGAGCAGAAACAGCACAAAACATAAATGTGAGCTGTTTCGAGATTGAAGCGATTGATTAGCATTTGGGTGACATTGCAACAAAGTTGAATCATAAAAAAAACAATAAAAAATAGAAAGTAGGACTTTAAACAAAAAGTGCTAGCTGAAATTTGTATTTGTAAGTTAAATTTGTATGGAAAAAATAGCATAATCAAAGAAATGACCTCAATTGTTGCCTATTATCTTCATTCATTCATCTATCGACATTTCCATTCGGTTCGACGATCTCCTCTTTTCCGATAAGACAAAAGCTGTTACAGTAGACAAAAGCTGTTACAATAGCATGTTACAATAGACAAAAGCTGTTAGAGTAGCCTGTTACAATAGACAAAAGCTGTTAGAGTAGCCTGTTACAATAGATAAAAGCTGTTAGAGTAGCCTGTTACAATTGACAAAAGCTGTTACAGTAGCCTGTTGCAGTAGCCAAGCTACAACCAGTACCGCATTGAGCAACAGATATGTCAAATTTCAATTCCAGGCCGCTCTGCCGCATGTGGTCTTCTCCAGTCTAATGTTGCACTATTCTACTGTTTCCTTGATTTCATTAAAGTTCTATTAGTTCTATTATTAAAGTTCTATTAGTTCTATTCAGATTATTCAAAAACATTGATTCAGTAAAAAGCTTGAGCCCCTTCAAGGACGGCCAAAAACGTCATTGCTCCTTGTCAGCCTCATTTCTCGTTGTAGAGTTACTTTGAGCAGCTAATTTTTTTGGTCATCAATATTCATGATGAGATCTATCGAATGAGGTATCACTCATCCCAAACCGTCGCCTTAACTTTGAACCATTCCCTTGCTAGATGAGTGAATGAAATTGAAACAAATTCAAAGAGTTAAGAACTGCAAACAACTCGACCAGTTGATCTTTCATTTTAGTACCGTCCTGTACTGTATTTTAGTACCGTCCTGTACAAATGTACAAAAATTCTAATTTTATTTCAAATTCAATCATTTCAAGCCGATTTCTTTGTTGTGTTTGATGTAGGAGATCACAATGTTGTACATCAATTGCACCATATTCGTGTAAACGACTCGGAAAGTTGGCGGGAGAAACCAAAAGTTGATGAATTGAAACGGTGGCCAAGTGAGGCAGTCCAACTGAAATAAGGCCTGAATTTTCAAATCAAATACGCTAAATCCCAGTGTTTTGCTTCAATTTTACAATCTACCGAAATGAAATCTTTTGAAAATGAAATGAAATGAAAATGAAATGAAGAGCTTTACGAGTTTTTCATTGAGTAATGCTAATGGTAGTGATCACTTTAAGTAAGCTCAGCTTTAAGCTCATTTGCTCATTTTGCTCAGGTGTAATGCTAATGCTTTGAGTAATGATTTGAGTAATGGTTTAAGTAATGCTTTAAGTAATGCACTAAGTAATGCACTAAGTAATGGTTTAAGTAATGTACTAAGTAATGCTTTAGGTAATGCTTTAAGTAATGGTTTAAGTAATGCTTTGAGTAATGCCTTAGGTAATTCACTAAGTAATGCTTTAAGTAATGCTTTAAGTAGTGCTTTAAGTAATGCACTAAGTAATGCTTTAAGTAATGCTTTAAGTAGTGCTTTAAGTAATGCACTAAGTAATGGTTTAAGTAATGCACTAAGTAATGGTTTAAGTAATGCTTTAAGTAATGCTTTAAGTAATGCTTTAAGTAATGCTTTAAGTAATGCTTTAGGTAATGCTTTAAGTAATGCACTAAGTAATGCTTTAGGTAATGCTTTAAGTAGTGCTTTAAGCAATGCTGATTCCGACCTACTATAGTTCCAGAACTATGGCACTTTTATCTTACCATAAAAATGTGCAAAAATTTTCGCCGATATTCGGCTAAACCATCACGTAGCGTGTGCCCCTCCATCATGCCGACACCTGAATTTGAAATTGTTCAACTCGAATCCTTTAGTGGATTTATGCTCAAAGTGAAATGCAGTACTTTTCAATCAATGACATCAATTTCAAATCAATGACACCAATCCAATGATACCAATCAATGACACCAATCAATGACACCAATCCAATGACACCAATCAATGACAGCAATCCAATGATACCAATCAATGACACCAATCAATGACACCAATCAATGACACCAATCAATGACACCAATCAATGACACCAATCAATGACACCAATCAATGACACCAATCAATGACACCAATCAATGACACCTACCACAAATCGTTGTCATTGTAAACAATGGTGCCGACGAGACATCCATCATACATTTCTGCAACACCACTGCTAGCTTTGGTCCTCGAAATTTGACATGGAAATCCATGAAACGGTAGAGGTAGTGCAACATTGGACCCTGAAGGAGACCACATGCGGCAAAACGGCCTGGAATTATAGTTTGACATATATCTGCTGCCGTAATACGGTATCTGGAATGGACATGAGAAATCGGGGCGGTTGAATCGGGGCGGTGAAATCGGGGTGAAATCGGGCGACAATATTTTGGCCAAAAGTTTTTACCGAAAAAAGTTATTGATCAATTTCTTTTTGCATTATATAAAGCATCTTATGGGCTACATTTCGACATGTAAAAAATAGCAAAATCTCCTGTGGATGACGAAAAAAAATACGTTTTACCCGTCGCCCCGACCCGAAGATGCTTTCGGATCGGGGCGACGGGTCAAACAGGCTTTTCTCGTTCAATTCAAAAAGACATTGAGAAGTCTTAGAGATCAAAATGTAGACCATAAGAGGCTCTATTCAATGCAAAAATAATTAGAACAATAACTTGTTTTGGTAAAACAAAATATCGTTGCCCCAAACCGCCCCGATTTCATCCCGATTTCCCATGTCTAATCTGAACTAGACTTGCCTATCGATATCTATTCTTACTATTATCATCTATACTGAAAAATCAGTCCTTTCAGCCTTTCAGCCTTTCAGCCTTTCAGCCTTTCAGCCAACCAGCAGAACCAGACTAGTCTAGCCTAATCAGGACTGGGCTGCACTATGTATGACATTCATCAGAACCAAGGAGTGGTACCACTTCTTGCCATCTTGTCAAAATGGAATCATCTTGCATCTGGTGTATAGTTCCACTGACTTTAGCTATGACTTCTTCTTCTTACCATTCTTCGCCTTTTCCAGTAAACCGGGTAAAAATGTCTTCGACAAGCAGATCGACTTTAGTCCTAGACCTAGACCTAGAAAGTCCTAGACTACCTAGACGTTTTAAAGTCTAGGTAGTCTAGGACTCTAGAAGTCTAGGACTCTAGAAGTCTAGGACTCTAGAAGTCTAGGACTCTAGAAGTCTAGGACTCTAGAAGTCTAGGACTCTAAAAGAGTCCAACCCCAGCCTCTACTAAGCATCATTAAACCCACATAAGGAAATTAGCTTTGTTTTCTGCCTAGAATTAGTCCTTCTTGGCCGCAATTTGTGGATTTCGACTTCTACTTTTTCGTTAAGGGTGACGCAAAGGGGAATGGGTGGGTGGTGGTTGATTTCCCCGGGGAAAGACCCCCTTCTGCTAATCTATCTAATTGAGTGCTTCTTTCAAGTGAAGAAAAAGAAGATCTTTGAAAAAAAAAGACAAAAAGTGATGCTTTGTACTTAAAAGGAACTCTCTTGAAAGGAAAAGGGTGTCCTCAAAATAATTCGATGAGATCACGCGATTTTGCTTTTTCTGTAAAACGAATCGATGAAAGAGTGGGAATTGTGATGCCTGAAGTTTTTGGGCTTTCAAGAATGAAGCTAAATGTTTTAAATGATAACTTTAAAGTTTAGAAACTGGCTAAACTAGCTATACTAGCTGGAAACTAGCTAAACTAGCTGGAAACTAGCTAGAACTAGCTGAGAACTAGCTGAAACTAGCTGAGAACTAGCTAAACTAGCTGAGAACTAGCTAAACTAGCTGGAAACTAGCTAAACTAGCTGGAAACTAGCTAAACTAGCTGGAAACTAGCTAAACTAGCTGGAAACTAGCTAAACTAGCTGAGAACTAGCTAAACTAGCTGGAAACTAGCTAAACTAGCTGGAAACTAGCTAAACTAGCTGAGAACTAGCTAAACTAGCTGAGAACTAGCTAAACTAGCTGAGAACTAGCTAAACTAGCTGGAAACTAGCTAAATTAGCTGAGAACTAGCTAAACTAGCTGGAAACTAGCTAAGCTAGCCGGAAACTAGCTAAACTAGCTGGAAACTAGCTAAACTAGCTAAAAACTAGTTAAATGTAGATGATCAACTTGTCAGTTAGCTTCCAGTTTTATAAAAACAGGAAGCATGGTTGATTTTGATTTAATAGTAATCCAAAATTCTTTAGCTAACGTTAAGCATGACTTCAGTGCACTAGAAAGCATTTGTTTGCGTGTCTATGCACTCTTTTTAACATCAAACCTGTTCTTTTCCAATCCCACGGCTTTTTCGGATCTCTTGGATCCCAAGTGCCCATGATGAGCTGCTGAATGGCATCAGCCGAGCCGAGTATCGTGCATGAGACCCCAGTGTTTGCTAACAATTTGTATCGACCGGAGAACACTTGGCGAACACTCTAATAAGGAAATTGATTACGAAATGTTTGTCAAAAAGATTTGCGTCTTAAAACAGATGATTAAGACGGTTAAGACGATTGGTTAAGACGACAAAGAGTTGGGCAAACTACACTTTGACTTTAAAGTTTTGTTAATTGCACTTTAAACATACAAATGGTGATTTATGGTGTAGTTATATTTATTGATTAAGAAAAGACAAGATTGAAAGCTCAATCTTATTTTTAAAAAGTAAGATTTGCGTTACTTTTAAGGCCAATCTTATCTTTAAAATCTTACCTTTTTAAGGCCAACTTTTAAGACCAATCTTACCTTCACGACGAGGTTTTTTTGATTTTTGCGTAAGTTATTTCCCTTCCAGATTGTCTAAAAAAGTTCACAGGCAACCGATTTACTTAAGTTAAAGGTCAAAATAAAGAGAAAGCTTTGAAGATCATTTATCTGAAAAGAGATTAAGAAATATTGAGTTTGTAGGAAGTTCGGAATGTTTTAGCAGGGAGTTAATGATTCGGATTCGGTGATTCGGGGATTAATTTGTATTCAAAGGTTTATAACTCTCTTCAAAGTCAATATTTCTTTAATCTCTTTTCAGATAAATGATCCCCAAACATTTCTCTTCAATTTGATCCCTAACTTCAGTAAATCGGTTGCCTGTAATTTTAAATGCGTGCTGTAAATCGTAAATTATTTCCAGCTTCTCTAAAAACGTTGACAGGTAACCGATTTACTGAAGTTAAAGGTTAAAATGAAGAGAAATCTTTGAAGATCATTTATCTGAAATCTGAGATTAAAGAAATATTGAATTTAAAGAGTGTTCAGAATGTTTTAACATAAGAAATTTCCTAGCCCACAAGTGAACCGAGAATTAGCATGCATTTAAAATTCATAACTTCCTTCAAACTCAATATTTCTTTAATCTATTTATCTATAAATGATCCTCAAACGTTTCTCTTCATTTTGACCTTTAACTTAGTAAAAGAACGATCTTAGACGAGCTGCAAGAATCAAATAAAAGTACTCTCCGGTTCTATCCCCCAAAAATTTGCTTTTTAAAAACTATATAAAACATCCATGCATCAATCCGAGTACTTTTATTCTTCTGCTGATTCTTGCAGCTCGTCTAAGATCGTTCTTTTACTAAGTTAAAGGTCAAAATGAAGAGAAACGTTTGAGGATCATTTATAGATAAATAGATTAAAGAAATATGGAGTTTGAAGGAAGTTATGAATTTTAAATGCATGCTAATTCTCGGTTCACTTGTGGGCTAGGAAATTTCTTATGTTAAAACATTCTGAACACTCTTTAAATTCAATATTTCTTTAATCTCAGATTTCAGATAAATGATCTTCAAAGATTTCTCTTCATTTTAACCTTTAACTTCAGTAAATCGGTTACCTGTCAACGTTTTTAGAGGAGCTGGAAATAATTTACGATTTACAGAATGCATTTTAAGTTACAGGCAACCGATTTACTAAAGTTAGGAATCAAATTGAAGAGAAATGTTTGAGGATCATTTATTTGGAAACTGCTTGAAAAAATATTGAATTTGAAGAGAGTTATAAAGCTTTGAATACAAATTAATTCCCGAATCACCGAATCCGAATCATTAACTCCCTGCTAAAACATTCTGAACTTCCTTCAAACTCAATATCTCTTTAATCTATTTATCTATAAATGATCCTCAGAAGTTTCTCTTCATTTTGACCTTTAACTTCAGTAAATCGGTTACCTGTAAACGTTTTTCGACGAGCTGAAAGGGAAATAACTCACGGAAAAACAAAAAACCTCGTCGTGAATTTGTTTTATTATGTTTTTTTATTACTTTAATCATTAAGCTTAATCAAATTTCCAAAAAAAACAAACCCGTAACTGCAATCGCATCGGCAACACTTGATTAACGACCGCGTTCATTTGTGGAATCTCTGCTGAAAAAAAGAAATGAGAATTCAAGGATTTTATTTCAAGTGTGGGAAATTTACATTAAAAACCTTTTTCGTTTGGTTCTAAACGGGGAATTTTAAATGGCATTTTGGATTGAAATGATTGTTTTTTTAGAAGCAAAACACCAGAGCAAAGGCTTAACAGTGAATCCGTTTGGCCTGTTGCACAACTTGGCCTGTTGACTGTAAGCTCGATCAGGTCAGGTCAGAGTCCGGCTAGAAGTCTTAGATGCATTATAAACTCTAGTATAAACTTAAGTTGGATGATAAACATCATCCTTGAATTTTTGATAATCGATTAGATCCAAAAAAGAGCTACCTAAGCTAAAAAAGAATGTTAGAATAGTCAACAGGCTTGAGAAAATGACCAACCTGAGGAAAATCATTTTGTTTTTCTCTTTGAATGTTTGAATCTAGAAAATTTCAAGTAGAAACTTGAAGAAATGATAGAAGAAGTGAGTTCTACTGAAAGGTACTGGTAGACTTTTAGGAGTTCGACTCTAGGAAGAGACTTTCTTCTTTCTCTTTCTTCCTTCTCTTTCTCCTTCCTCTTTCTTTGCAAAATCCCCGCCTCTAGAGGGGAAAGACTGAGAAAAGAGAAACAATTGAATTAACAGAAGAAAACAGGAAACAATTCGGACCAAACAACATCTAATGAAAAGGAAGAAAGGATTTTTGATTATATCAGATCAGTTTCAACGTTTTCAAATCAATTTTAACGTTGAGTTTCTTAGTTAGCTTCGGTTTAAAAAGATGTAGAATTTGTATTGGAATTTGTATCAAAAAATACAGCGAAATTTATGGCAGAAATTGATCCCAAAGATTTGGGAATAGTGACGACCACAAGCTCAATCGAAGAAGCTCAATCAGAGAAGCTCAATTGGAGAAACTCAATCGCATAAGCTCAATCAGAGAAGCTCAATCGGAGGAGCTCAATCGGAGAAGCTCAATCGGAGAAGCTCAATCGGAGAAGCTCAATTGGAGAAGCTCAATTGGAGAAGCTCAATCGGAGAAGCTCAATCGGAGAAGCTCAATCGGAGAAGCTCAATCAGAGAAGCTCAATCGGAGGAGCTCAATCGGAGAAACTCAATCGGAGAAGCTCAATCGGAGAAGCTCAATCGGACAAGCTCAATCGGAGAGGCTCAATCGGAGAAGCTCAATCGCTCACAGCTCTTTCTCCTTCTCTCTTTCTCCAAAAAAGAACCGCCATTTTACCGAACTAGCAATTTGCTAAACCAACGAAACGGTTTCCAGATTCAAAAACTATTATTCCACGTAAACATAGAGTTTTCAGTGTCTCGTTAGACAAAAAGGAACCACCATTATATCCCAAAAAAGCTTTTGGCATGCTACACAATCAAGAGAAAAAAAGGGTTTTTAATAATATTTCTCGTCGCAGAGTGGGTTGGTAAATCGTGGTGTGTAAATTTTTTTTGGGATAAAATTAAATGCATACTTTTGTGCCTATTAGAAAGACGAATGGCTTTCCTTTACCCTCATACAACGCAATTGATTTTGAAATACTGTATTCCCTCTAATAGTAGTGCGCCCCATTCGTAGAAATCGCCCAATCGCTCAATCGCTCACAGCTCTTTCTCCTTTATGGATTCCAAAAAAGAGCCACCATTATACCGAGCTAGCGATTTGTTAAACCACCGCCCTTTCCTTCTTGTCGGACCACGAATTCAGCGAGGGACACTAGTGGACAATGAAATATCATATTTGAAAAAACACTTTCGCACTTTCGCGCGTCTGTAACTCCATTGTCTTTACCGTATTTCTAAATATTAATATTACCATTGTGTAGCCCTTGAAAAGAGCTTTCAGAAAATGTATTACACTAATAGTTTAAACTCAAAGACAAGGGAATTACAGACGCGCGAAAGTGCGAAAGTGTTTTTTCAAATATGATATTTCATTGTCCAGTACTGTAGCTCGATAGGAAATGACGGAAATTTGCACTTTATCACTGAGTCGGGTTCGACAAAGTCTTGTATTCTCTCAAGCAACGTTTCCGCCGTTAGATCGTCAACTTCCGTCATTTCCTATCGAGCTACAGACGCGACGCCTCTTGTTCTTGTCGGCCGCAGTGTTGTGATTCATCTTCAATTCTTTCGCACAATAGTCGATCGAGGTCCGTTGTCGAGTCCATTCATAAATGAATTGTAGGATTGTGAGAAACGAAATTTTGTTGCCCTTCATCCATGAGCCAACGCTGATCGCTGCCATTCATCCATGAGCCAACACTGATCGCTGCCCTTCATCCATGAGCCAACACTGATCGCTGCCCTTCATCCATGAGCCAACACTGATCGCTGCCCTTCATCCATGAGCCAACACTGATCGCTGCCCTTCATCCATGAGCCAACACTGATCGCTGCCCTTCATCCGATGATCGCTGTCCGGCACGACGTTTTTGTCAAATCTCCATCGGAGAAAAACCGAACTCTTGTGAAAGTGGGGTTTTCAACATTTTCAACATTTTCATAAATCTCCAACGATAGAAACCTGATATCGATGAATGTTATAAACTATGTGAAAGTTGCAAATCTCCTCTACAAAATAGGCTATAACGTGTTTCAATTGATCGAGCCATTGAAGAAATACATTTTCTGAAAGCTCTTTTCAAGGGCTACACAATGGTAATATTAATATTTAGAAATACGGTAAAGACAAGGGAGTTACAGACGTGCGAAAGTGACGATCTTTTTTCGAATATGATATGAGGCCGAAATGCGAGTGACCAAAAAAGGAATCGAGTCACTTTAGGGACAAGTTTAGTGTGGTCAAAATAGAGTTAGCTTCCCAAAATTGAAGATTTCAAAAAAAGAAGGATAACTATAGATGAATTCATTAAAAAAGTCTAACGGAAATGCATTTACAGAAATTTAAATAGAGCGTAAGTTCAAAACCCTCAAAATTGTCAAAAAAGCGGCTTTTTCACAAAAAAAGAAAAATTATTGTAAAAATAAAGTTTTCCCATGAAATGATCCCAACTCTTAATTATTTTGAATGGTATTTCGTTCATTTTCCGGTCATTTTCTGGTCATTTTCCACTATATAGTCAAAACTGAACGCTTGTGAAAGTGGGGTTTTCAAAAAGTGTCCTTTTTTGGTCACTCGCTTTCTCACTCATTTCACCCTCGAGATTTCTTCAATGCTTCGATCAATTGAAACACGTTTTAGCCTATTTTGTAGAGGAGATTTACAACTTTCAAATAGTTTATAACATTCATCGATATGAGGTTTCTATCGTTGGGAATTTATGAAAATGTTCAAATCCGCATTTCTTATGAATGTACCTAATAGAAAGCGCAATAACCGTCGATTTGCTTTCTGTATTCCTTTTTATTGTTGGTGATGATTGCTCTAAAATCTGAGCTATTAAAGAACCATTCTTTAGTGTTGAGCTTTCAATGTCATAAGCTTTTCTTTCTAAATCTTCAATTTTGGGAAGCTAACTCTATTTTGACGACACTAAACTTGTCCCTAAAGTGACTCGATTCCTTTTTTGGTCATTCGCATTTCACCCTCGAGATTTCTTCAATGCTTCGATCAATTGAAACACGTTTTAGCCTATTTTGTAGAGGAGATTTACAACTTTCAAATACTTTATAACATTCATCGATATCAGACTTCTATCGTTGGGAATTTATGAAAATGTTCAAATCCGCATTTCTTATGCATTTACCTAATATATTTCTATAATAGCATTTGTGCAAAGTATGAAACCCAAAATGGACGAGGATGAGCAAATCTTGAGCCTCTCTTGGTTCAATTTTACAACTTGATCTTCTTCTCTATCTAAAAAATGCTTTGGAAAAATCGTTGAGCGTTGGGTTGAAGGATTTTTGCTAACATTTTTTCGTTTTCCCAAAAATTAGAACAAAAATTAGAGCAAAAATCCGGGCTGAGAAAGTCGTGGCTTATAAAATCCCGAAATTTTTGTGCCTCATCCTATCTCATTAGCATTTGTGGCTGAAAAAGGGGATCGGGAATGGTAGGATCTCCCACAGAGATTGTGAGAGGGCATCCGGTCTTTTTAGTGCCTCGAATCACCCTCTAGTTGATCCGCCTTTTTCCCCCAATTCGAATCGCTCTTCGATGAGCTTTTCTATTGAAAGGGGGAATGTTTGCGAATTCTTCCTGCACTCACCCTTTTTTTTTCATTTCTTTTCAATTTCTTTCTTGTCACTGATCCATCTCGTTTCATTTCACAACTGGAAACTTTGGCAAATTTGAGTAACTCTTGTTGCCAGCAAGGCGATAACGTTAAGAGTTTTAGTGACTCGTTTTGACTCAAGTTAACTCAAGAGTTGACTCTTTTGATAATTTATCCGGTTTGATTTTTATTGGTTTGATGCCAGTGGCTTTCCATTTTGATTTTTTGATTTTTCTGAGAGCTGTGTTGTTGTTGTTGTTGCAACTTATAAGACATGAACTAGTACACTAGCGAGGTGCCTTCAGATAACTCCTGTTTCTACAGAAGAGGCTACTCCAGAGCCATTCAAACTTAAACCGTTCAAATTTGCCTTCAAAGACCTCTTGTTTCTACAGACGAGACTGCTCCAGAGGCAATCCAACTTAAACCGTTCAAATTTGCCTTCAAATAGCTCCTGTTTCTCCAGATGAGACTACTCCAAAGCCATTCAAACTTAAACCGTTCAAATTGGCCTTCAAAGAGCTCCTGTTTCTACAGAAGAGGCTACTCCAGAGCCATTCAAACTTAAACCGTTCAAATTTGCCTTCAAAGACCTCTTGTTTCTCCAGACGAGACTACTCCAGAGGCAATCCAACTTAAACCGTTCAAATTGGCTTTCCAATAGCTCCTGCTTCTCCAGATGAGACTACTCCAGAGCCATTCAAACTTAAACCGTTCAAATTGGCCTTCCAATAGCTCCTGCTTCTCCAGATGAGACTACTCCAGAGCCATTCAAACTTAAACCGTTCAAATTGGCTTTCCAATAGCTC